AATATTTTTTTGAGTGTTTGTGTGACGGAAAGATCAACACGCTTTCGGATCGTCGTTGGAGATTTTCGCTTTTGTTTCGACCACTCGCCGCCAGATACAAGTCTTCACACCTCGAGCTACTTATTCGTCCCTTTTTCTCAAAGACCGAAAGGATCTTGGGAAGAAAAGAAGGAAGTTACCCACAGTACTCTAAAGTGACACCTGGATTGTGAAAGAACACCTGTGAGTGTAGAGATTTAAAAGGAAAAGAGGAAAAAAAACACTTGGGAACCCGGTACCTTTGCCTCCCACAAGCTCAGCATCGATCGCCTCCCTGTATACTTCTTTTTGTACTTCGGGCTCCTCCTCCGAGTTCGTCCGGTCCGACCTCGCCGACCTCGCGCCACGTCGGGTCACAGAGGCAGTCCCTCCAGAACCTCAGCCAAGTGTCTAGCTCGGAACCGGTGACTTCAGCAGCACCATGATTGCCACCGACATCAGAAGGGAGTCCCTCAAGGCCACAAAGAATGTCTTGGGCTCTCTGAACTCAGCCATTGCGGACTCCATCGCGCACGGCAAACGGTAAAGACATGGACAAATTTTCCCACGTTTTGAGGGTGCGTGTGTGTGTGTGTGTGTGACTGGAAGTGTCTGTTTACATGTGTGTGTGTGTGTGACTGAAGTGTTGTTTACATGTGTGTGTGTGTGGACGAAGTGTCTGTTTACAGTGTGTGTGTTTGGAAGTGTTTTGTGATCGTTTGGAAGTGTTTGGGGAACGTTTGTGTGTTTAGAAGTGTGTTAATGGGTGCTATGTATGTGTATATGACCATGTGTATGGATATAACAGTCTGAAAGAGGTCTGATTTTTTTCCAATAGTTCGCACCAATTCTCCTTACAATTAATATTCCGAAATAACTGACTAGCAGATCACGTGGGAGTCCCTTAGGGCTATTTCAAGCGGTCAGTTAATTTGTCTCTCTCTTTCAGACTAATTAATGTTATCCATTATGCAGTCCAACAAGTGTTCCTTGACGTCAGTTCGAGTGTGTAAGTGCGTGTGTGTGTGTGTGTTTGCTTTACGGTCACTGGTCCACCTATTGTTTTCATTGTTGCTTTGTGTGTGTGTGTTTTTACTCTTTTTCGTCAACGCGTTTCAGGTAGAAAGGTGGAAGGGAGAGAAAGAACTATTGTGCATGCGATAGCCATCATTTACAGAACCATCGCCAAAGTACAGAGACAGACAGAGATTTCGAGTCAAGAGCACGCTGAAAATATACCAATAACACACAATATATTCATAAATCCCCCTAAAAAAACCATCAAGTTCAACGAGTGCTTTTGGAGGTCATAGTGGCACCATAATGGGTCTGCCCTCAACGAGACCGCCAACTCGAGTATCGTTTTTTTTCTTTTTTTTTCGTTTTTTTTTTTAGTATGCGGTCGCTGTGACGTAAGCATGACGTCACGCGCTACAGCTGTATCACTCCCTTCGCCCGAGCCTCGTTTCGCTTCACCAGTTCCTCTCTTTCTCTTATTCCTTGTTTCTCCTCTTGTCCATTCCTCCTTTATTTATTATTTTGGTTGTATTAATGATTACTGCATCCATTAGGACTATTTTCTCTTTGAAATAGTTTGTAATTCGATATTTATGGACAGACGAAGGAAGGGAATGTAGACCGGGGAGGTTCACCCCGAGCGAAAGGAGGGGGAAGGGGGGGGGTGGCGAGAAAGTGAAATTCCTATACCCGGATTCCCCTTCCCCCCTCCCCCCCCCTTTCTTGTCCGTGGCTTTCTTTTCATGGCGATAAAGAAAGATTTAAAAAAAGATATATAGCCTAAAGAAAACCCTAACACGGATATATAAAACACGCAATGTTTAAAAGCAAAGATTTTTAATAATTCCTTCTTTCTCAAATGCCAAAGAAAATAAAAATAAAACCAACGATAATGAGTAAATTAATTAAAATTCATTATACTCATGCTCTCTCCGCCAAGACTTATCTCAGAAGTCACGTGACCAAACCGACAAGTGACAACCGCGATGCGTCCGGTGTCGGCGTGGCCTTTCTCAGATCAACGGAAGAGGGGATAGAGAAGGAGAATAAAGAGAAAGGATAATTTTTTTATTGCACTGCACTGTTTTGTTTTTTTTTTGCAATTCTTTTGTCTTTTTTTCTTTCTTTTTAGTTTTATTCCGGTTCCTGTTCCTGTCTCGTATTTTTTCTTGTTCTTCCTCTTCCTCCTCTCTTTCCTCTTCCTCTCCTCCTCCTCCTCCCCTCCTCCTCCCCCCCCTCCCCTCCCTTTCCTCCTCTTCCTCCTCCTCCTCCTCCCCTCCCTCCTCCTCCTCCTCCTCCTCCTCCTCCTCCTCCTCCTTCATACAGCTGGGAATCGCATCTTAGAGAGCAAGGAGGGGGGGTGTCACATGGGTAGGGGGGTAGGGGGCAGAGGGGGTATCTTCTCCCGGAACTTGTTCTTTTGTGTCTCGCTTTCCACACATTTTATTCGCATTACGCCTGGTCTCTCTCTCTTCTCTCTCTCTCTCTCTCTCTCTCTCCTCTCTCTCTCTTCTCTCTCTCTCTCTCTCTCTCTCTCCTCTCTCTCTCTCTCTCTCTCTCTCTCTCTCTCTTTCTTCTTTTCTCTCTCACTCTCTCTTTCTTCTTTCCCTTCTTCTTTCTTAGTCTTTCTCTCTCACTCTCCTTCTTCTTCTTCTTCCCTTTTCTTCTTCTTTCTCCCTCTCCTTCTTCTTCCTCTTCTTCTTCTCTCTATCTCTATCTCCACATTCATCATAATGAAAACTCTATACCGGCTCCTCTATTGTTGTTGTGACATACTATCAGTTTCACATACCGGCCACATTAACCGCCTCATCCGGGACTTTGCCTCTTATCACCGGAAGACCTCCCCCCCCCCTCACCCCTCCCCCAGCCCCCCCCTCCTCCCTGTCTCATCACCTCCCCTCCCTCCCCTCCCTTCTTCTCGACCCCTCACCCCCTCCCCAGCCCACTCCTCCCCCTCTCCTCCCTTCCTCTCGACCCCTCCCCCTCCCCCAGCACCCCTATCTCACACCCCCCCTCCTGCCTCTCAACTCCTCACCCCCCCCCCCTCCTGCCCCCGATCCCCCCCTCACCCCCTCCTCCTCACTCCTGTTAACAAACACTCGCATCCTGTCTTCAAATCTATCTATTTATCTATCTATCTATCTATCTCCCTTGACATTAAGCCAGCGATTATTACGAAAGGAGGATTAGCAAATGATGATAATTACGAGAATATGGAAAAAACACGATTAACTTGGCGTCGAATCCTGTCACGTAGCGGGTTATCTAATCATTAGCATAAATAAAAAAGAAAACGTTAAAAAAAGAATAAAAAAATAAATAGGAATTGGAGGAAATGGTGAACTTTTAGTGATGACAAAATTTTGAAATCGCCGATTTTTATTTTATCTACCATTTTTTTCTTTATCAAATTTCTGTTTTTTTTATTATAGGTATTATTATTGTATCTTTTGATTCGCTGTTTATCAAATTTATTACCCTGTTTATCATTTTCTCATCGTTCTTATCATTTCTCAAATTCTTTTCATCCGCCAGATATCAGCTGATCACCCCCCACCACTCCACCCTCCCCATCACCCCCTCCTCCCAATGCTCATTCTCTCTCACCTCCCATTCGCAAACATCAGCTGATCACCCCCCCACCCCCCCGCACACCCCTCCACCCTCCCCATCAACCCCTCGCCCACAATTCCACTCTCTCTCACCTCCCCATTCGCTAGACATCAGCTGATCACCCTTCCCACTTCCCCATACCTTCCCCCCTCCACCCTCCCCATCCCCCTCCCCCTAATTCTCACTCTCTCTCACCTCCCCATTCGCTAGACATCAGCTGATCACCTCCACTCACGTCTCTCGTTTCTTCTCTCCCGCAGAAGTGACATGCGCCTCCGCCTGGGTTGGCTCCGTCGCCGCGGGGAGACCCAGTGCAGCGTCAGACCCCAGCCCGAAGAAGCGCAGAGTTGGGCCGAGAGCTTCCATAACCTCATGGCTTCGAAATGTAAGTAATTTTTATAAGCTATTTTTTTTTTCATGTTTTTTTCATGTATTTTTTTTTTTTTTTTTTTTTTTTTTTTTTTTTTTTTTTTTTTTTAGGTCCTTTCGTAAGTGTGGAAGGGATTTTGAATTGTAGAAAGATAAGAAAAAATAAGAAAAAGAAAACATGTAAAAGAGGATTCTGAGTTAATAGAGATATAATGATAAAACAAAATATATAAGTAAAATAGATAAGTCCATTTTTTTATGTATAGAACGAATTTCGAATTATATAAATAGATTCATACAAAAGATAATAAAAGCAATTAAAAAAAAAAAGACAAAAAAAGAAAAATGTTAATTGGACAAAACCTACAACTAATTTCTTTCTATAAATTATCAAAAAAAAAAATCCTTCCACATCTTTATTGTACGTGAGAATAATCACACAAATTTAGCGTAATTAAGGGTTGATAATGACGTACTTCCGGTTCAGTTAATTGGCTCGTTGCTGAGGCGTTTCTGGCAATTGCTTTTGTAATGTTTACTTATCGGTCTTTCCTTCCTGTGGCGTTCGCTTTCATTGCTTTTCGCTTTTGTTGCTCTTGGTATTCCGTTTTTTTTTTTTTTTTTTTTTTATTATGGGTCTTATTTGATTTCTGGTTTCTTATTCTCTTGTATTCTTTCTTTTCTTTCTCTCTCTCTCTATCTATCTATCTATCTAGCTGTCTCTATCTCTTCTCTATCTTATCTCTATCTCTCTCTATCTCTCCCTCTCCTCTCTTTCTCTCTATCTCCTCTCCCTCTATCTCTCTTTCTCTCTATCTCTCTCTTTCGCATCCTGTCCCAATTTTTTCTCTCTCTCTTCAACGCCTTCATTATACGCCATGTGCCACTCCCCTCACCCCTCCCTCCCTCATCCCTCTCACCCGCCCCCCTCACCCCCCCCCATCCCAAAAACCAGCGCGACAACTTCCTTAACAGGATTTGCGTGACGTCAGAGCTCCCACACGACACACGAGGTCAAAGGGCAGTCACTCTAGGCCACGCCCCTTCTCCCTCCCTCCCCTCCTCCCTCCTCCTCCTCCTCCTCCTCTCCTCTCCTCTCTCTCCTTGTGTTCCCTCTGTACTCACTCCCCTTCCTCCTCCTTCCCTCTTCTTCCTTTTCTGTCTTTTGTGCTCTCTTGTCTTTTTCTCTTCTTTCTATGTCTGTCTGTTGTCTCTGTCTGTCTCTGTCTTCTCTCTCTCTCTCTCTCTCTCTCTCTCTCTCTCTCTCTCTCTCTCTCTCTCTCTCTCTCTCTCTCTCTCTCTCTCTCTCTCTTCTCTCCCTCCCCCTCCCTCCTCCCTCCCTCCCTCCTCCCTCCCTCCTCCCTCCCTCCCTCCCTCCCTCCTTCCTTTGCCCTCCCCGGAACAAACCCTTCGCCAAGGACTGATATTGCCCCTTCCCTCCCTTTGCCCTTTCCCCCCTCTCCCTCTGCCCCCTCCCCCAAGGGCATTGCTATTACTACTCACAGACAGAAAGGGGGGGGGAGGGGGAGGGGGGAAAGGAAGGGGAGAGGCGTTTAAGAGGGAGAGGAGAGAGAGAGAGAGGGCAGGAAGGGAAGTAAAACAGTATTATCTCCCTCCCTCCTTCCCTTCCTCCCCCCTCCCCCTCTCACCCTCACCCCCCACCCCCCCCTCCCGCCGTTGCAAATCGTTGGTTATATCATCAATCAGGGAGCCATTAATGCAATCAACATGGCTGTGAGGGATCAGCATGGGCCGGCAGCATCCTTCATAAACATAAGCATGACCTCATGGACGCGGGACAACACACACACGTACATACACATACATTCATGCACACATACACACACAATATATACATACATTCGTGCACACATACATACACACACACACACACACACACACACCACACACACACACACACACACACACACACACACACACACACACACACACACACAACACACACACCACACACACACACAACTCCTCCCTCCACAATCACACCACCCCACCCCCACACACACAACCCTCCCTCCCCCCCCCCCACACACAATCACACAATCACACAATCAAAAATCCACACTATAGGAAGCAAAGAGGGAAAAAAAAACACATAGAACCTTTGTACTTATAACGTCACTTCCCAAGCTCTTTGTTGCGGGTTTTTTTCACTGTTGATGCTGCGATTACGTCATTCAGAATTCCCACCGGGGGCTCGTGTACAAAATGTAGATAATTGGATGATAAAGAGGAGACGAGAGAGAGAGGAAGAGGATGGGAGAGAGAGAGAGAGAGAGAGAGAGAGAGAGAGAGAGAGAGAGAGAGAAGAGAGAGAGAGAGAGAGAGAGAGAGAGAGAGAGAGGGTGAGAAAGAGACAGGTAGATAAAAAGGTAATCAGAAAAAAGGAGAGGGAGAGAGGGAGATAAGAGTTGACAGAAGAGAAGGAGAGAAAGAATGTGTTAATGTGTGTGTAAGAGAGAAAAGAGAAAGAAAAAGGAGAAAGTGAAAGAGGAGAAAAGAGTTAGTGCGTATGTGAGAAAGAAACAGAAAGAAAGAAAGATAGAGAGAAGAAAACGAGAAAGAGAAGACAGAAGAAAGAGAAGACCGAAAAAACCGCAAAAAGAGACACAGCCAGCTCCACGATAAAGCCCCGAAGTCCCTGCCGCCCTTTGTTGCGTCCCCAGAAGCGGCAGCGAAGGACCTCCACGTGTCCCGCCGTACAATACCTCCTGAAGGGTCCTTACAGGGGGTGGAGCTTCCGTCATTACCCTGTCGTCTGTGTCAAGATCCTGGTCAGGGTTTCGGACAAGCGGTAGAGGATTAAGAGAGAGAGAGGGAGAAAGAGACAGAGACAGAGACAGAGAGAAAAAGGGAGAGAGAGAGAGAGAAGTGGATGAGTAAAATCGCGTGAGAAAGAGAGAGACAAAGAAGCAAAAGAGACAATAACAGAGCCAGCGAGAGCGCGAGAGAGCCAGAGAGCGTGGCAGAGCGTGAGAAAGCGTGAGAGAACGTGAGTGTGAAGCTGTGAACGGTTCCTTTTGTGCGTTTCGCGAGGAGGTCGTGATCCGTTCATTGTTCCACGCCCAGAACGTTTCCTCTTCCCGTTTTCCTGACCTCGATCTGTTATTCGTGGGCGTTATTTGGTGATTTTGTCCTTCAGTGGGGTCAGAGGTCAGCTTTGGCGTCTATTGTCTGGGTATTTATTTTTCTCTACTTTCTGTATCTAAATATTTATTTATCTATCTATCTTTATCTATCTATCTATCTCTGTCTATCTATCTATCTGTCTATCTATCAATCTCTGTCTGTCTATGTATTTATTTATACCTATCTACTATATATTAAGGTTAGTCTATCCATCTATCTCTATCTCTATTAGTCAATCTATCCAAATCTATTTCCCTATCCATCTCTATTCTTAAATCTATCCATTTCCTAAGCAACATATTCATCTTTCTAAAGAAAGACTTATTGTGTGCCTGTGTGTGCGCGTGTGTTTGTAAGCGTCCATATGTGCGTAATCTCGTCTGACTTGAGAGAAAGACTATGCGCGCGCGCCGTGTGTGTGTATGTGCGTGCGTGCGTACACATGTGCGTATCCCGTCCCACACAGCCTGGTTTCTTGTGGTCATCTCCCACCAGGATGCGAGACAAAGGTCGCGTCATCTCTCGACTTGACCTCTCTCTCATCACCATGCACAGGGGGGGGGGGGGGGGCGTCGGGGGGGGGGAGGGGAGGGTCAGTGCAATGTCTGTCTTCCTTTTTGCTTTTTTTTCGCTTTCGTGGTGATTGTGGGAGGGGGGAGGGAGGGTGGGGGGGTGGGGAGAGGAATAGAGAGAGAGAGGATGAAAGTGGATGTGGGTAGGTTGAGGATGAGAGGAGAGGTGAAAGGGGAGAGAGAGAGAGAAAGAAAGTGAAAGAGAAAGAAAAATAAAGAGAGAGAAAGAAAGAGAAAGGAGTAAAAGGGAGTGAGAGAAAGAAAGAAAGAGAAAGGGGTAAAAG